ATGTTTTTGCACTATGCAGTGACGGCGACGGAGAGCATCACGAATCCAACACTCAAGGATTTACGGATCTGTGCGAGTGTGCGTGTTTTTTTGTTTGTTTTTGTTTGTGTACGTGTGCGATTTTGTGTGTAAATGGGTGTAAGTTTGTGTGTAATTGTGTGTGAGTTTGTGTGTGTAAATGTGTGTGAATTTGTGTGTAAATGTATGTGATTTTGTGTGTGAATGTGTGTGAGTTTATGTGTAAATATGTGCGAGTTTATGTCCGTATGTGTGTGTTTGTTTTGCATATGTGTACATATTTAAATGTTTGTTTTACCTCGCCACGTGTTTTTACAACCGTAGTGGACGATAAAGTAAATAATAGGAACCGCAAGGTCATTATAGAGAGATAGTGAAAGCTTATGGTGACACGGGATGGTGACGGGCATGTGATCCGGGCAGCTCTTACGTCTAAGCTTAGGAAAGTATTTTGTTGTAACTATAAGGCTAGTGTCAAAGAAGGAAACAAAGTTGAGAATTTAGTCAGAAAACTAGAAATTAGAATTATAATACAAATAGAGAAATGTAGATGATAAAATGATCGGGTTTTATGATCTATTCGTAAATAGATCATTATGCAGATAACCAGATCGAAAGGTTGACAGACAAACAAATAGATAGGCAGGCAGATAGACAGAAAATCAAACAAAGATACACATAACTTTATCTATAAACATTTGCATATACATACTTATTTACTCGTACATAAACCTTTATTTTACGGTGAACGACACAATAAAACTCGAACAAGGTCAAAGGTCATAGGGTTTATGTGGACACCCTGAGGCAAGACATCGAGGGAAAAGTGAGAGGAAAAAATAGGATGTACACTTTGTCATATTTTCCTCGCTTGCTGCTGATGGGTCGGAGTTGGACGCCTCTTCGGAAAGGGGGGTTTAGATCTTGAGGTTTCTCTCTCTCTCTCTCTCTCTCTCTCTCTCTCTCTCTCTCTCTCTCTCTCTCTCTCTCTCTCTCTCTCTCTCTCTCTCTCTCTCTCTCTCTCTCTCTCTCTCCTTCTCCCTCTCTATTTCTTTCTTTTTTTCTTTTTTTTTCTTTTTTTTGGGGGGGTAGGCTTTTTGCGGTACTGTTATTATAGGAGTATGATTGAGGATTTTTTTCTCCGTCGCGTTTCCTCCTTTTATCTTCATTTGGTTTTGTTGTTCCATTGGTATTACATTTTTTTTTTCTTTCTTTATCTTTTCTTTCATTCTTTTGATCTCTTCCGCATCATCATCGTTAGCGTCATGGTTATTATCACGGTTTCTTTGTTGTTATTGTTGTTTTTTTCTTTCATTTTCTACATTATCATTACCCTTATCATCGTCATCGTCATCATCATCAGCAGCAGCAGCGGCATTACATCATCATATCATCATCACCATCGTCACCACCGCCATCATCATCACCACTACCATTATCATCATCGTCATCATCACCAACACTACTATCGTCACCATCACCATCACCATCATCACCATCGTCATCATCTCCATCGTCATCATCATTATCACTATCATCATCATCAGCGTCGTAGTTATTATCACGGTTGCTGGTAATGCTCGGAGGAAGAGGGGGAAAAATAATGACATTCTACATTGTAATTATGAGTGCATAAATGACCTTTGTTTATTTTAATGATCAGATTTCTCTCCCCTATTATTATCGTCTGCTGCAGTGAAATTGTTTGAGTAATTTTGTTTTGTTTTCTATTTTTTTATGACATGTTCAACACAACTGACAAAATGTACGTGCTGTATATTCTGCCGAGAGAGGAAGGTTTAAATTTTCCAATGCTCTGCTCGGTCGCAGGTCACTATTGTATCTCTTGACAATATTACTCTTTTAATCTCCGTTACGCGTTCCGATAATTAAGTCACAATTTTATTCATTATCAAAAGGAAAAAAAATTATTATAAAGACACCCTGCCCTGTCAATTATAAACAGCAAAGCATAAATCACTATGAATTCCTGTACCCATTGTAAATAAGGGATATGCATGAAGTTCCTCCGCCAGAGAGACTGTATGAAATCGGAAAGTCACTCTTGAATGAGGCGCATTTCATGTAGGATTTTATGGCCGAAGGGACGCTGAAAAGGTTTTCCTTAACTGCTCTTGATGACCGTCCCTTTTCCGGTCTTCTCTTCCTTCCTTCCTTCCTTCCTTCCTGCGCCGGAGGAAGAGTCTTCGCTAGGCTCGCTTCTGTGTGCGTGTGTGTGTCTCTTTGTCTGTCTCTCCCTCTCTCTCTCTCTGTGTCTCTCACGCTCTCTCTCTTCTCTTTTTTTTCTCTCTCTCTATCCTCTCTCTCTCTCTCTCTCTCTCTCTCTCTCTCTCTCTCTCTCTCTCTCTCTCTCTCTCTCTCACTCTCTCTCTCTCTCTCACTCTCTCTCTCTCTCTCTCTCTCTCTCTCTCTCTCTTTCTCTCTCTCTCTTTCTCTCTCTCTCTTTCTCTCTCTCTCTATC